TGGTTCAAGCTTCATAAATTGATTTCCCATTTCTTAGATGATATGGCATCCCTAATAAGCAAAACCTGCCGATCGGTTGATCATGCCACCTCCGTGGTTTACACAATTACTCAAATTAGTACGTATAATAGAAATGGAATAAAGTTGTTGTGGTCAAACGTGACTGTTTCACCAACCGATTATCGACATTCGAATTAATCTTGAATTTCTGATGTATGGTAATTTCGAATTTGTTTCCCCCTTTTTCAAATTTTATTCATTTTTTTCAATTTACTGAAATCGATGTCGTGAGTATTTTCGGACACTGGATGCCAAGAATGAGAGGATAAACCATATAGGAGGATTTGATTTATTGAAATTTACCACTGAAAACATAGGAGAGGCTAAGTTGTTAAATTCACCTTCCCTCTCTTTCTTGACATCTATTCAGTGCTGAGTCATTTCGGCACAATTTATTCCAAAAGACGGGTCGAAACTACCTACTTATGGGGTGGGAGATAGATCCGATCGAGGGGCTAATTGTAATTTCTTTCATATGTCAAACATGCTCCGTCATGGAAAATCGCAAACTCTGATGAGAAAGTGGGTTGATTAATTGCAGTTTGAGTGAAATCGATTTGTGGGGAGATATTTAAGGTTAATGAGATAATTATAATCTTACTCCCAGTAAAAGGTGATATTCCACAGTGATAATAATAATTATTTTTATTATTAAAAAAACAAACGTTGTTCTCCTTTATAATTATTAACTAATTGTCAATTTCAGTATTAATTATAAGGTTATAAAATATCAAGTCATAAAAGTAAACGAAAAACTATTTTAAATTAAATAAATAATCCCCATTTCTATTTTAAACTACAGTATTTTTTAACTAATGGGAATACTGAGGTAAATACATTTGGTCTTTATGCGTTATTTAATCAACTGGGTGTACAGTAATTCCATGAAATGTTTACGGGTGAAGGCGAATCAGCCTTTTATATTTCTACTGTAGGTAGTTGCATTTTTATTGCCAATATCTCTTACAAAAAATATTGTTTCAGAAGTTTAATTACGTGACATTCGTATTTGGGACAGATCTCAGAGTAAGCCAAATTGGAAATTGGAAATTAGGCGAATTCTGTAACCAACTTATTTTGCAAAAATATACACATTAAAGGAAGTAAATAAATAATAAGTACAAATATCTGAATGGTTTAATAGAACAAACAGCTATTTCATAAGAAAATTAAAATGGCTCACTAAGTTTATAATTCATTCAACCTGAGCTTCCTATTGGCTTTAATGCCCAGAGAACTCATGTTCTCTCCCAGAGCTTAGATTGGACGAACACCATTCGAACACAAGGCTCCAGTTTGCAAAATTTGAAGTGAAAAGGAAAGGCGATATTTAGTGGCATAAAAGATGAGTAATAGCAAACCAAGCAGGAATTTATTTCGAAAATATGGAATTAGCATTCTTATGTAGAGATCATCGTTATCCATTAATCAGATAATTATTACGATCTAAGTTATGCACAAATTTTGGCTCCTATAGCTTAGCAAGGTAAAATCAGCTTTATAGGAAAGATATACTTCTGCTTGCAACAGTCGAACTAAGTTTACAACATACCATCTGACATTTGCTTATTTTGTGGTACTAATTTTGTGATACGAGTTAGTTTCCACTATATTTAGTTTCGATAAATTTGTTCATCTTCGGTAAATGAATCATTAAATTAACTGCTAAATGAAACTAGTTAAGCAGCTTTGAAACGTCCAAATACATCTCCAAGCGAATATATTTTGTGTAACAATATCTTGGTTATTGGGATGGATAGAAATTTCATTGGTGATTTGTCAATAGCAAGTGACATTCATGGGCAAACAATTTCGAATCAACATTCAAAATCCAATTTTTCGAAACTTACGCTCAAAAATTAATGCGCAAAATTGGATATGAAGGTTTCCACGATTATGAAATGTGATTTTAGCTCATTTAAAAGACGTCATTTTTTAATAATTTATTAAGGATTTAAGACAAATGAAATAATAGCTTGACATTGCTCTTAACTTATTATCAAATATAAAGCTATGAGTAATAGAATAACGAAAACTTATTAAAGTTTTGGAAGCTATTTTAAGTTTGCTAATGAGTCATAATTTTAATGCGATAACCTTGGAGGATTGTTCAATCTCGTTTGATTTTAAGCTTGTCTAGTTGGGGTAGTCGGATGGATGCTGTAACTTCCTTCTTTATTTCAAACATTCTGGATAAAGAAAATCCAAATATGAAACATTTTAAAAGTAATTTTGTTATTTAATGCTATGCCACTAGTTTTACTTCAAGCTGTGGACCTTAATAACTTATCCAGTTCTCAGGCATACACGTTAGTCGCAATCCTAATGTATATAGAGTTACGTGTCCTTTCATTGATGATAAAGTCATATCAACATCTGAAGGAAAATTTTGCTCCGGTTAATGACCTATCGATGATATCTGATAAGGGCAGGAAGCTATTATCTCAACTGAGTGACCAAGCGGGCTTTATAAGTGGACCACGTTCCGAGACTTTGGCTGAATCTGTTAAATCAGCTATTAGTTGCATGGCAAGTTAGCTTTCCTTGCTCACTTTGCTTCACTTTTAGAAAGGTAAACGACGAATGGTCGAGTGGTCTAAATGTATTCCGAAAATCATGTCTCCAGTTACTGAAATAGTCAACATCTATGTTCCGTCAGATAAACGTCCATCGGAAGATGTAAAACTTAGTGGGAGCATTCCATTTCACTTCTTGTATACTCAACTTCAAGAGTTTGCCACTAACAAGGACCCAGGTATATTTCTTTGTTGACTTTTATAACAAACATGTAGGCACCCATCCCTCTACCTGGTTCGATGACGATGCCTTTAAGTCTCGTATTACTGCCATCAAGGCCGATTATGAGGTTGACATATTTTTGAAAAATTTATTGATCTCTACTGGATCGTAAATTTTTTCACTTTTTACAGAGACGGAAAAAGGAGAAGTCCATTTTATCGGACAGCGGTTTAATCTCGTCATGGGTTAATTCACTTTCTTCATTTGAATGCCTTGAAAGTGGGGCCGCCTCTGCTTCCGTCAGCGTCCAAACTGGTAAATAACCACCTTTACAAAACATTTACTCTCCCTTGGCTTGATTTATTGTTTATGAAAACTTGGCCTAAGCTGATATAATCTAGCTTGTCTTTGATACAGATGGAGCCCTTGGCCTTAGTATTTGTCCTCAATCGACTCCGAATAAGGAGAGCCAAACTAAATCTCTTTTGCCGCAAGGAATGCGCACTTTTCTTGATGACGACGATTCGTTTATTCTTGATGTTTCAACACCTTCAGGTAATTACTGAATTCTGAAGTAAATACCATGGATTGTTGGTTGATTGTGTGCCTGAAGTTTATGATCTATAAGTATGCGCGTTAAGGTGACATTTTTGATCCTCCACATGTAGCTGCACGAAAAACGAATACAGATGTGGAAAATCTCGGCAATGTCAGTCTACCCATTTTAAATGACTCAGACTCCAGCGTGCATCGTCGTAGAATACCATGGACTCTTTCAGAGACTATTGCCCTTTGGCACGAGGTTCAAGAAGCCCTGCCCAATCCTCCTTCATGGGCTAATATCAGGGACAAGGTATTTGCCTCCTCTCGACGCACAAATGTGGACCTGAAAGATCGTTGGAGGGTCATTCAAAGAGACAAAGGTCTCCAGAAGAAAATTCGGCTCTACTATGACAAATGGCTTGCGGGCCAGAGGAAGAGTTCCAAAAAATAGCTCCCCACTTCTACGTGTAAAGTGTATACTTTTTGTACGTACATGGCTTAAATAAAGCAAATACTATGGGATAGTCTCAACAATTCCTTCTTTATCACCTAGCTACTAAGGAAGATGGTTAATTTTGCGGTGTTAAGCATATAGAACGGTTTTTTTGACGTGACTGATTGGAATTTCTGATGAGCCAACTACCTCTATCATAGTGAATTCCATTGGGGAAACCCTAGACCAATCAGAACGACGGTTTGAATTTTGGTTGGCAAAGCTGTCATAGCTTAAGTAGTTGGTGGTGACGGTTCTCTCGTTCCTGGAAGCCCGAGTCCCACCTCAATTGAAATCGAGCAAAAGCCATCAAACTTGAAAGTGCAAGTCTTCGTGAGCATGAACCCAATCCCATTTTTACGCTTTCGACGGAATTACTGTTCAGATGAAACCACCAAAATGTGTTTCTGGTGCGTCTAGTAAAGGTCGCCTATTCCCGCAAAGATGAAAGCAGCGGGAATAACAGCGTATAGCCTGTGTTGAATAAGAATCCCTAATGCTCTGAACTAGATCTCTTCATTCTCGCCAAGAAATTATGGCTTTACATCCACAACTATTAAGGTGCGTTATGTTTATAAGTAAACGAAGGTCTTATTTTAAAACCCAAAATGGCGAGTGAAGAACGCTTCGGCCTCCCTCATAGCAGAGACTGTGAGAAGTTAATTTAAATTCCTTTCCTATTAAAGAGCCATTTCAACAGTGGTATAATTGTGTCTGGTTCTAAGATATTTCTAGGAGAACTATGAGCTTATACACTGCTTTGTCTGGGAATACACGCTGAATACGGCTGAACCAATGAAGCTCTTGCCCGCTCGACCATTCTGTAACATACGATAGTGATGCCGATTACACTAGGAAACGAATGGTTGTCATGAGTGCAATTAGCAATCAATAGATATGTCATGGTTAAGGCAGTCGAAATTTTTTCTAATGTTTAATCTACTTGTCAGTCAGAGCCCAAATATAAACGTGTTCCTCGTCAAATGTCTCTTTCCTCCATATTGTTAAGGCAGCTTAGTTAACTCCGTAAGCCTATCTAAAGCTAGGAGATCACGCCATAGAAATTAGTGCTGCAATCCACTGCAACCAATAAAGTCCTAATTAAGCTATTTATTTACGCAAAACTGCCAACAATCTGAGAAGCCAACTGGGTAAGGCTTATTGATAATTTGCAGCCATTTGAACAAGTGACAAATACAACAGTTTCTATCCTTGGAAGGGATCAATGAAGGCGAGTAGTGATGTAGGAACCAAATAAAGACAACCTCATGGCTATCTTCGATTGAAATAATAGAATGATGGCATCCGTCTTCATATAGCACTACTCAATAAAATTCAATATTCCTGAGTATAATTTATTTACTTAACTAATCAAAGAGCCGCAAATCTCAAAACTCAATGTCATAACGGAATGACCGCAATGGTTGACTTTACTCCGAATTAAGCGAGACAAAAGGCCGCACAATTAAGCACAATAAAAAACGATGCAAATTGTATGTATCATTAACAAATAATGGCTGATTTACTTCTTCACGAAGAAAAAACTTATAATCTTTATTCATCGCCACCTGGTGAAAATTGTCTTTTCATAGTTTGGGTGTGGTTTTACTTAAAATTCACTTTGAAGTCATCTAGTGGTTAAGCTGATGGCCACGCTGAATCGGTGGCGTTTGAGGATTGAACGATGGGGAGCAGTCACATGTATCCAGATAGACCTCCCCGTTGTATTGGTTTCCGAATGTGAAAATGCGTTCGCCTACAAAGAATGAAAAGCTTTTTAAAAACACACCCAAATTTTGACAATAGTATGAGACGTATACGGTACCTAAACGGTCTAGAAATAGTTTCCCATTCCACAGTCTCCTTCCTTAAGACATGAGAAGTTCCCTTTTCGCAATGCCAAACAAGTTGCCCATCCAGACAGCCGGGATTAAGCGAAGAGGGTAAAAATATGTTATCTAGAAGAAGAGAAATGGATGATATTTCGGAACAAAATAATCGGGTGCCTAAAGGAGACTGGTAATGAAGGTACCGGTTGTGGCACACTTAAAGGGCAATATGTCAGATCACATTGAATTCGACTCAACAAGGAGCAGGCAGGAGGTTCTCCGAATGGGTTTTGCAAGACTGAAGAAACGACGAGATCAATGAAGGTCAATGTGAGACCTCATAAGGTGGTGAGCCCTTGTCTCTATTTTGTGGGACCACTTTGACACTGTGCAATTTGTAAGAAAGCCCTTTAGAAATACCGATTTCCTCAGCTCGCTTACAGCTATCATCCACCGGTGCAGACGTGCATGAAGTTGCCTTGAATGTGGTCACGTGACATTTTGCGAACTTGGTCATAGCGGCCGATTCGCGAGTTCTGGAGGGGCAAGAGAGTAGAGCAACTATGTTTATGACCATTTTGACGGCATACTTAATCTGTCCGGCAATCACGAAAGCAGAATTTCTGAACTGACTGTTGCATGGGCATGTTTTCCTCACAGATAAGTCGTGGGGGAACGACTTTAGGCAAGAACAACGACATACTGTGTGCGGGAGATTCTACTCTTTTACACTACCTCTGACAGCAAATTCAAGTCAGTTATAGAAGACAGCACCATCAAACATTATGTTATATCAGGAGGTGACAAGAACCCTTGTTTTTTGCAGGCGAGTACTTCATAGTTTGTTAAGATACTGAATGCGTTTTGCCATTGGCGTTGAAAACTTGTCAGGGGAGGTATAAAAACGTGTTCTCCACTTGTTTTGTGACATAGAAATTTAATGAAAGTTGAGAAGTGAACTTTAATGTCTTCTGTAGGTTAGTTATATTGCGCCATGTCATTCATAAGGGAACTGTATTCTTAATCAAGTCGGGGTGTGCGACAGACTTATCTCCACGTGGTGCACCCTGGGCAGCGTATACTCATACGGCAAAAAACGTATATAAACCGGCAATTGACTTCTGACTTCAACCACCATGACCCAACTCTATGTCAAATTAAACAATTTCTCAGTACTCGTCTTACCTTTTCTCTGCCTTTGTGTCCGTCTGCCTCTTATATCCGTGACTCATTATTCTGTTCCCCCCTCTCGACTTTTGTCACTTTGATGTTCCTCCTCCTCTCTGTGACGCCCGAAGTCACCTAAAGGGCTAATGATAACTATCAAAACGCCTGCCATTTGAAATAAGTAAGTAAATTTTTAATCAAGGTATAGTTATTTAGCCA